TGATGGGACCCGGGAGAACATGTAAGGTGCCGGCATCACACCTGTACACATCCACAACACTGATGGGGCCCGGGAGAACATGTAAGGTGCCGGCATCACACCTGTACACATCCACAACACTGATGGGACCCGGGAGCGGGAGAACATGTAAGGTGCCGGCATCACACCTGTACACATCCACAACACTGATGGGACCCGGGAGCGGGAGAACATGTAAGGTGCCGGCATCACACCTGTACACATCCACAACACTGATGGGGCCCGGGAGCGGGAGAACATGTAAGGTGCCGGCATCACACCTGTACACATCCACAACACTGATGGGACCCGGGAGAACATGTAAGGTGCCGGCATCACACCTGTACACATCCACAACACTGATGGGGCCCGGGAGCGGGAGAACATGTAAGGTGCCGGCATCACACCTGTACACATCCACAACACTGATGGGGCACGGGAGAACATGTAAGGTGCCGGCATCACACCTGTACACATCCACAACACTGATGGGACACGGGAGAACATGTAAGGTGCCGGCATCACACCTGTACACATCCACAACACTGATGGGGCCCGGGAGAACATGTAAGGTGCCGGCATCACACCTGTACACATCCACAACACTGATGGGACACGGGAGAACATGTAAGGTGCCGGCATCACACCTGTACACATCCACAACACTGATGGGACCCGGGAGAACATGTAAGGTGCCGGCATCACACCTGTACACATCCACAACACTGATGGGACCCGTGAGAACATGTAAGGTGCCGGCATCACACCTGTACACATCCACAACACTGATGGGACCCGGGAGAACATGTAAGGTGCCGGCATCACACCTGTACACATCCACAACACTGATGGGACCCGGGAGAACATGTAAGGTGCCGGCATCACACCTGTACACATCCACAACACTGATGGGACCCGGGAGAACATGTAAGGTGCCGGCATCACACCTGTACACATCCACAACACTGATGGGGCCCGGGAGCGGGAGAACATGTAAGGTGCCGGCATCACACCTGTACACATCCACAACACTGATGGGACCCGGGAGAACATGTAAGGTGCCGGCATCACACCTGTACACATCCACAACACTGATGGGGCCCGGGAGCGGGAGAACATGTAAGGTGCCGGCATCACACCTGTACACATCCACAACACTGATGGGACCCGGGAGAACATGTAAGGTGCCGGCATCACACCTGTACACATCCACAACACTGATGGGACCCGGGAGAACATGTAAGGTGCCGGCATCACACCTGTACACATCCACAACACTGATGGGGCCCGGGAGCGGGAGAACATGTAAGGTGCCGGCATCACACCTGTACACATCAACAACACTGATGGGGCCCGGGAGAACATGTAAGGTGCCGGCATCACACCTGTACACATCCACAACACTGATGGGGCACGGGAGAACATGTAAGGTGCCGGCATCACACCTGTACACATCCACAACACTGATGGGACCCGGGAGAACATGTAAGGTGCCGGCATCACACCTGTACACATCCACAACACTGATGGGACACGGGAGAACATGTAAGGTGCCGGCATCACACCTGTACACATCCACAACACTGATGGGACCCGGGAGAACATGTAAGGTGCCGGCATCACACCTGTACACATCCACAACACTGATGGGGCCCGGGAGAACATGTAAGGTGCCGGCATCACACCTGTACACATCCACAACACTGATGGGACACGGGAGAACATGTAAGGTGCCGGCATCACACCTGTACACATCTACAACACTGATGGGACACGGGAGAACATGTAAGGTGCCGGCATCACACCTGTACACATCCACAACACTGATGGGGCCCGGGAGAACATGTAAGGTGCCGGCATCACACCTGTACACATCCACAACACTGATGGGACACGGGAGAACATGTAAGGTGCCGGCATCACACCTGTACACATCTACAACACTGATGGGACACGGGAGAACATGTAAGGTGCCGGCATCACACCTGTACACATCCACAACACTGATGGGGCCCGGGAGAACATGTAAGGTGCCGGCATCACACCTGTACACATCCACAACACTGATGGGGCACGGGAGAACATGTAAGGTGCCGGCATCACACCTGTACACATCCACAACACTGTTGGGGCACGGGAGAACATGTAAGGTGCCGGCATCACACCTGTACACATCCACAACACTGATGGGGCCCGGGAGAACATGTAAGGTGCCGGCATCACACCTGTACACATCCACAACACTGATGGGGCCCGGGAGAACATGTAAGGTGCCGGCATCACACCTGTACACATCCACAACACTGATGGGGCCCGGGAGAACATGTAAGGTGCCGGCATCACACCTGTACACATCCACAACACTGATGGGACCCGGGAGCGGGAGAACATGTAAGGTGCCGGCATCACACCTGTACACATCCACAACACTGATGGGACCCGGGAGCGGGAGAACATGTAAGGTGCCGGCATCACACCAGTACACATCCACAACACTGATGGGACCCGGGAGCGGGAGAACATGTAAGGTGCCGGCATCACACCTGTACACATCCACAACACTGATGGGGCCCGGGAGCGGGAGAACATGTAAGGTGCCGGCATCACACCTGTACACATCCACAACACTGATGGGACACGGGAGCGGGAGAACATGTAAGGTGCCGGCATCACACCTGTACACATCCACAACACTGATGGGACCCGGGAGCGGGAGAACATGTAAGGTGCCGGCATCACACCTGTACACATCCACAACACTGATGGGGCCCGGGAGAACATGTAAGGTGCCGGCATCACACCTGTACACATCTACAACACTGATGGGACACGGGAGCGGGAGAACATGTAAGGTGCCGGCATCACACCTGTACACATCCACAACACTGATGGGGCCCGGGAGAACATGTAAGGTGCCGGCATCACACCTGTACACATCTACAACACTGATGGGGCCCAGTAGAACATGTAAGGTGCCGGCATCACACCTGTACACATCCACAACACTGATGGGGCCCGGGAGCGGGAGAACATGTAAGGTGCCGGCATCACACCTGTACACATCCACAACACTGATGGGGCCCGGGAGAACATGTAAGGTGCCGGCATCACACCTGTACACATCCACAACACTGATGGGGCACGGGAGAACATGTAAGGTGCCGGCATCACACCTGTACACATCCACAACACTGATGGGACCCGGGAGAACATGTAAGGTGCCGGCATCACACCTGTACACATCCACAACACTGATGGGGCCCGGGAGAACATGTAAGGTGCCGGCATCACACCTGTACACATCCACAACACTGATGGGACCCGGGAGAACATGTAAGGTGCCGGCATCACACCTGTACACATCCACAACACTGATGGGACCCGGGAGAACATGTAAGGTGCCGGCATCACACCTGTACACATCCACAACACTGATGGGGCACGGGAGCGGGAGAACATGTAAGGTGCCGGCATCACACCTGTACACATCCACAACACTGATGGGGCCCGGGAGCGGGAGAACATGTAAGGTGCCGGCATCACACCTGTACACATCCACAACACTGATGGGACCCGGGAGAACATGTAAGGTGCCGGCATCACACCTGTACACATCCACAACACTGATGGGACACGGGAGAACATGTAAGGTGCCGGCATCACACCTGTACACATCCACAACACTGATGGGACCCGGGAGAACATGTAAGGTGCCGGCATCACACCTGTACACATCCACAACACTGATGGGACCCGGGAGAACATGTAAGGTGCCGGCATCACACCTGTACACATCAACAACACTGATGGGACCCGGGAGAACATGTAAGGTGCCGGCATCACACCTGTACACATCCACAACACTGATGGGGCACGGGAGCGGGAGAACATGTAAGGTGCCGGCATCACACCTGTACACATCCACAACACTGATGGGGCCCGGGAGCGGGAGAACATGTAAGGTGCCGGCATCACACCTGTACACATCCACAACACTGATGGGACCCGGGAGAACATGTAAGGTGCCGGCATCACACCTGTACACATCCACAACACTGATGGGGCCCGGGAGAACATGTAAGGTGCCGGCATCACACCTGTACACATCCACAACACTGATGGGGCCCGGGAGAACATGTAAGGTGCCGGCATCACACCTGTACACATCCACAACACTGATGGGGCCCGGGAGAACATGTAAGGTGCCGGCATCACACCTGTACACATCTACAACACTGATGGGACCCGGGAGCGGGAGAACATGTAAGGTGCCGGCATCACACCTGTACACATCCACAACACTGATGGGGCCCGGGAGAACATGTAAGGTGCCGGCATCACACCAGTACACATCCACAACACTGATGGGACCCGGGAGAACATGTAAGGTGCCGGCATCACACCTGTACACATCCACAACACTGATGGGGCCCGGGAGAACATGTAAGGTGCCGGCATCACACCTGTACACATCCACAACACTGATGGGGCCCGGGAGAACATGTAAGGTGCCGGCATCACACCTGTACACATCCACAACACTGATGGGGCACGGGAGCGGGAGAACATGTAAGGTGCCGGCATCACACCTGTACACATCCACAACACTGATGGGACCCGGGAGCGGGAGAACATGTAAGGTGCCGGCATCACACCTGTACACATCCACAACACTGATGGGGCCCGGGAGCGGGAGAACATGTAAGGTGCCGGCATCACACCTGTACAGGAATTCGAACCTAGATCTGCGGTTCCTGGCACAGGCAAGGTGTGCAACTCTGCAGAACAAACCGAGGCACATTAACAACTACTGCTTACCAGGGAAACATTCCTATCCTTGTGACGACCACGAAGGGTTCACTTGTGAGATTCAGTGTTGTTTCTACAATAAAATGTGTTTCAATACACGCATTTACATCGGCATTTAAAATATGCGCCCAATTTCTGATTGCTTTTATGAAATGTGACAAAACCAATTTTTTACAAATCTTCACAAATTTATTTCAAAAGCTTTCATGATGAAATATAGACATGTTATAAAACAAAGTGATATATTTACAAAAAATCAGCATGTACAATATCACACATGATTTATTTTGAGTACATACATGCGCACTAGCAGCGAATTAAATAAAGCACGTCTCGACAGCAGTTACAGGCGCTCATATCAAGTAAGTATAGAAGTCCACCCCTGTGTATGGGAATGTGCTGTAAGGTCCAGATAAAAACAATGATCATTACACCGATGTTTGTTCCTATTGTCGTTAGGGATGCGCTGAGCATTCTGATAACTGGGTGCTCGTCTCTACATTCATGTCCTTTGGCCCAATCCTGCAACACTCGGGGACTTCTGTAACCTGTCATCATCACCAATAGCACGAATCACGAATGTTGGTGTGACTTCTCTTTTCAAGTCAAGTGGTGACTTGTGTCAGACTTGGATCAAGACGTGTCCTTAGGTTTAATGTCCGGGAAATGTCCCTGTTACGTCACAACACAAGAATAATCCCGGAAATACATAAAAACAACCTGTCTGAGAACGGATCTACCAAATCACCAAGTTACGTGAAGCCCAATCCAACACAAATGTCTACCTCATCAAACTGAACGTATTTCTGTTTTCCTTACATGATTACAACCATATGACGGACACATTAAATGCCATGCATATATTGTATTCCATATGCAGTGCTCTCTCATAGAGATGAAAGACATTGTATTGATCAGTTATTAAAAGCACTCTTCAAGATGGGCAACGAATATCGTACGCAATTCCCTAAATATATACAAATCATTGCTGGAGTTAAACACGATCCTTACCACCCTACGCATGAACCTTCTATTATCTCCCCTTACATTTTGACTTGGAAACTGGCGTCTAGGGTATATTAAAAGGGCTATTCGATCTATCTGATTAGTTACATTGTTACATGAACCAAACCCAGTAGTACTACGTATACGGTGGGGGTATTCTTGACCTTGTATATGGACTAAGAGTATAGTTATCGCCATGCCATTCCCTTATGGCTCTTCATTCCAAATGTGCATGGGCTTGGACATCCGCCAATACATTTAATATGGCACAATTTGATTACGTTGAGTCGGTACCAAGTATTTGAATTTGTGTAGACGTTCTTCCTATTTTCGAGACGTTGCAAATTTAAAGGAGTTAAATATGTTACGTAAACAGTTTGGCAACGTCAACAGCCGATCTTTTCCATGGTAATTTAATATGGCACAATTTGATTACGTTGAGTCTGTACCGAATATTTGAATTTGTGCAGATGTTCTTCCTATTTCGGAGACGTTCCATGCGTTACGAAGCCATCTTGACAACGTGAACAAACGTTTTGTTCTAGGGTAGTTTCTCAGACTCGACCTTCACGTGCTGCTCCTGCCACGTGATGCTTTTGCACGTGCCAGAAACTCGGATGACCATACTCCGTCCGCCATCTTCGAATGTAACCATCTCGCACTTCTCCGGCAGACGACCCCGGAATGGTGCCTCGAGGTTTAAAATGCTCCCAACAGAGAGAATGTTATCATCCTTATCTTTGATAACGTATGGCAGACGCCGTCTGTTGGTCTCCTTGTTCTCGTTGTAACTCATTTTGTTGACGACGGTAAAGTCCGAAAGAGTTTTCTTTTCCACAATCTTCATCTCGGCCTTGGTTTTCTGCCCTATGTTGACACTGATGTCGGAATTGATACTCCACTGGAGTCGAGTTTCGAACGTTTTGCTGTTGCTTTTCTCCATTGTGACCTCTTCGTGGACGCCAGCGCCGATTTTCAAATAATCCGGGATCCCAATTTCAATGCTTGCCTCTTTTCCCATAGTGTAGCTCTCCATGAACTCAAAGGTAGCAGACGACACAGTTTCCCGCTCAGCGCCGAAACTGAACTTCTGTTCTTCGCCTGTGTTGTTCTCGTAATGAGCGAAGTGCATGCAGACTGGCTCCTCGGGTTCTTTGTCGATGTCCTGAGCTCGGTCGTGCCACTCAGTGGAGCTGGCCTTCTGAAGGTATTCCCATCTGAAACACAGAGGCCCTTTTCTGTCAAGAATAACCCGAAAATATCGAAGACGAATACGATGAACCTATAGGACGTTGTGTCTATACCATGTCGACTGTGTTCACATATCCCTCATACATATGTTTGGTCTATTCGAGACATAACGTTACCAAGATATAGAACATAAGCGATGCATCTTCCATGAGTAAAATGTGTGAATCCCTTTGTCCACATATCTCTTGAAATGGCTGTAATATTGCCAAAAGCGAATGAAAACCAAAGTCTACTCACTCATAACCCCAACAGTTATGGCGTCTTGTTCAATCCAACATTATGAAAGTCGGACACATTATATCATTCATTCTTTAATTGTGATGTGACATCCATTCTCCACCAGACGATGGTTAGTTCGTGTCCTGTACCTGATTTCCACCTTGCACTTGTTCCTCCGTGTCATCATGGCCTTGAGTTTCCCCACATCCTCCGGGTACAGCTTGTTCCAGATGTAGTCCGAGAACACCTGAGTCAGGTCCAGGCGGGTCAGGTCCAGGGTCCGCTTCTTTGTACAACAGGCACCCATCTTACAGTGGACAACGGTCACGGGGGACACTGGAACACAAGGATGAAAACAATGAAAACATGGACCTGTAAATTCACCCTGAAGAGTTAGTGGATGAAGTTGAATGCTCTTGTAGACATATGTCAGCGAACAGATCTGTGTGTCGGAGCCTGGAGCAGGTGAACCAGGGGTGGCTCCACGTGACAAACTAAACCTGCTGAAAGCAATTAAACGTTGAACGTTAACACCTGCCAGTCAATATAACTACACAGTTATCCGCTTCATGCGACACACATTGGTTACTGGGGAGTGGAACACGGTACCACATGTCGGGTAACGTCAGCAATAATTAAATGAAACTTCTTCATCCAACCATGTGATTTTATGATAATTCGATATTTGAGTCATAAATATACCTTCACGGCAACAGTAAGCTGGGTAACTTCAAAATTAGGTAGGATTACACTGGCGGGTCTATTTTGACAGAAAGCTTCCATGTCCACTTGTTGCTAGCAAAATATGTTTTACTTAAACTCATCTGTCTGTAGCAAGCTACCAAAGTGAAGATAAGATACAGTCGCCAAAATTAGTAAATCAATTGTTGTTGCAGTATATAGCGGAGTGACCTTTCCTTTCCGATAATGTACCTCTATTTTTCAAGGAAACGCAACTAAATATCGCGTCTTACGATATTATGCGTATTTCGCACACGCATAGTAAGATGATGATGATGATGATGATGATTTGGAGATGACATTATGCGTGTTTCGCACACGGTATCAATAATATTGTTTTGGGGATATAAATATACTCCACGTGATGACCTGCCAATTTCTCATTGGACAAGAGCTTTGAACTGTGATGGAGGCGGAGTCTTCGGGCTACTGAAGCGGGACCCAACGCCGCTGATCGGGATCGAGATCTTCGTCTGATCTTATCAAGTAATTGATGCTGTTTATGTTAGTGATGTTTAAGGCAGTGCGGATGAAGATGTTAAGAGTATAATCCGCTGAACAAACATTCTGTTGAAAAGAACCAATAATTAACTTATTTGATGATTGTAACAGCTGCGTCTGAAATGTAAATAATAATGGCAACATATGTTAATATTACATGTTAGACTTTATACTCCAAGCATGTAACAATCAATATACACAGCCATTGTTAGCATAGATGTACATTACCGGCTAAACAGCGCACAGTTTGTAGGTTTGTAAAAATAATAATCTCTCTTTGTGACATGTTTTTGTTAAAATAAAATGTTAGTTACATATTTTCTATTAATGCACCGTGATTTGTTCCCCTTTAATCATATACTGATGATTTTATGGCAACGAAGCAATTCTTTAAGTCTTTGAAAGGCATTTAACATAATATTGTTTGAAGGTTTTTAGCTTTAACATAAATAAGCTCCAACAATCTGAATAAATTGAAAGTCTTGTTTTCATTCTGACAAAGTATTTGTTATGCAAATAGAATAATTGGAAAATAAAAACGTATAAATCAACCAGATTTTGCGGCCCTTCAGCAAACGTGCACGCTACCGTTGAACTGAAAAATCGCCCGCCTTGTGAATTTTATGACCGCTTCTTTAACCGTACCATGTCACGCCCACGAGAAATTACCTAAACCCGAAAGAGCATGTTCTGTGACAAAGACACAGATTTTAATTCCCGTGATTAACGATGCCTTTGTTGAATGCTTTGCCCGCGTAATCTGACATTAATAAAGCAGGTAAACAAGATGTTACGGACAAAACTACTTCTAACGAACAAACATAATTCAGAAAACGCTTCAAACATGAAGCTTTTAAGAACAACATTAAAATATGTAGCATAAAAAAATCAAAATCTACTGAAAAATAAATGTTTGTTATATTTATAAAAAAACCCACCAAAATAAAGACCATCTAGGAATTATTTTCCTTATTGATGATTTTAAATACACTCACCTACAAATTCTTATTATAAACGAGCAGATCACCAGCACTTCGGATATACTTGTTCAGATCAGAACCGGAGAAAATATGTTTCTACACCCGTATAAAATTTACTTATATATGGTCAACTTTTGACACGCACGCATTGACAGGTAAATATTAATGATATATGTACTCAAAATTGAATAGACTTCATAACCCGAATGCAAACAATCATTGTCGGGGGATTTGTGGGGATTAGCGCGGATTAAGATAATCAAGCTGTCTTCTCAGTAATACTAACACATTGTGTCACCTGCTTTCTATTGTGTTAAGCAATACTTCCTACAGCTCGTGGCACTTCCTCGTGAGTTGTTACGTAACTAGTGGTCTGTTTCAACATGTCAATCATATGTACATTTCGGTTGTCGACATGATGGCGGAAAATAACTCACGCCTTGTTTTTAACTGCCACATAAAATATTGCTAGAAGTTGACTTTTAAAGGTTATATAAATAATAGAAACAATAGTGGTGGAATAATGTGAAATTGTTTGATAGTTTCTGTAAATTTGTTTCTTGAAATATAAAATTGGCGGAAATGTTTTTTTATCACGCCGTGTATATTTGTGTAGTCACATATTTTAGTAACGTTGTGCGAGGAGGTTAGATGGGAGGGGGGCCGTGTTTCTAGGACTTCGGAACTGTCCCACACTGAAGCACCTGTAGCATATGTGTTGTCGCTTTTGGCAAGTGACTTTGTTCGAAACACGCCTCTGTTCAGTCAGCAGTGAATGGGTACCCGGTAGGGGGAGAAGGTAATGTGACTATTAACCTTATAAGAGCGTATACTTGCTTAATCATATTGTATATATTTGTGTTATCTAACAGTGTATGTTTGTGATATGTAAGCAATTCTTTACGGACACTGAATGTATCAAACTTATATCTATAAAAAAAACACGATAATACAGTAGTGTTCCATTGGTATCACATTACTTTAAGCGAGTGCACTAACGGTGATAGCAATTTGGGCAAGATTATTAATTTGGTGACACTCACAATCGTTTAATTTATGCAAACATTTGAAATTATCTTTCATATGCAGGGTTTAAAAAAAAAGGGAAACCACCATTTACCCAAGTTGGCGTTTCTTTTTTTAAAAAATTGTTATGGCGAGGTATATCACTGTACCGAACTGCTGCATGTACTATTGTCGAGAAAATTTATATCACACAAATGGATCTATATCTGATGCATATTGATCATTGTAGCTGTATGATGGCGGTCTGTAAATAATCGAGTCGGGGCCAGACAATCCAGTGATTGACATCATGAGCATCGATATACGCAATTGGGATACGATGACATGCATCAACCAAGTCAGCGAGCCTGACCACCCGATCCCGTTAGTCGCCTTTTACGACAAGCATAGTTGCCTTTTAGGGCAAGCATGGGTTGCTGAAGACCTATTCTACCCCGGATCTGCACGGGTCACCGATATCTACCCGTACATTTACATACACACACAACACTAAGTGAGTTCGAAAATTCGCATTCAGTAATATGCAATCGCCTGTTTGCCAAATATGGACATGATTAATTATTCATTCCCCTAAACTGTACACAAAAGCATGAACTATTCCCGCTATGAATAATGCACACCACCCATCGGCCCTGTGCCGTTATTTCTTTTATGTTTCGAGCAGCGTTAATTCAAGTGTTCAACCATCTGTACTACTGTTTAAACAAATGTAAAGTGCCGTTATCAAATATTTACCCTCCCATGTAATTTTATGTTTATGTTTTGGGCTGGTGGTGTTTTCCCTAGCTTGTCACCTGTGTTTATCGCGGCCTCGTGACGACTGACGACCAAGAGATATCTCTATTATAAGAAAAAGTTTTTTTTCACGTGCACATTGACTTGATTAACTTACAGGATAAATACTCCGTTTAGTCTTAAACGCATCTGTATGGAATCCTAGAAGGGACATTGTCGTCTTGTCATCCTCACATGGCCCAAATGGCTAAAATGTAGCGTTTGTCGCGGTTTGGTAGATTTTGGCACTTTTTCCATGTTTTTGTAAGGGCGACAACGTAACAATGCGACTATGTCCCTTCTAGATCTCCATACATCTGTTGTCCCTTCTAGATCTCCATACATCTGTTGTCCCTTCTAGATCTCCATACATCTGTTACCAGAATAACGTAGTGAACACGTAGACCTGAATCAAATTAATAAAAGAAATTATTCAAAATATTTCAAATGAAAATGTATTGCAGATAATTTATAACGTTTCGATTTTCGTTTGTTTGTTTGTTTAAACAAATAATTCCTTCGTTTATGCTCCGTGCTGATTCAGTAGTAGACGAGACACCTAATACCTCCTATTTGTTGTGAGATCCGACTTAAATGTGGATCCTGTGTATTAGTGAGTGAGTGAGTTAAGATTTACAGTCACATCGGCAGTATTTCAGCAATATCGTGACTACAACAATTTAAACATACATATCCTGTGTATTATTATGGATGAGCGTTTGCCATCCACTCACTATTTCTAATTCATAGCACATCTGCCATACTGAAGCCGATTGTTGTAAGGTCAGACGCGCAGGTGGAAACGGGTGAGATATAAATCTACCTGTAATCAATTACAAGTGAGCTGTCACCCGCTGTCTGTCAACCACCCGTCCGAACCTCGTTATCGATATTTCACGTGCCACGTGCGCGCGTGCCGCGTCAATACACAGCCAGGTGTTGCAGGGCGCGACTGTACAGCCTCAATAAGGGGCAATTGTCATCATTTTCACGAACCAAGGTGAATCCTAAATCCCTCAAAGCCATATTGATTCAGTCTTTCACGACACAGACAGTGTATTTGCTCTCCTCAATTATTTCAGCAAGAAACGAGAGCATCAGATATGTTGATCGTTCGCATGTGTCGCTATCGGATTGTTTTGTCTCTACACATTAAATACGCATATGGCACCCGTAAAATGTTAACTATATTCATATATTTTCTACTGCAACTACTACTACTACTACTACTACTACTACTACTACTACTACTACTACTACTACTACGACAACGACAACTACAACTACTACTACTACTACTACTACTACTACTAC